GTTTATAATCCATGTTAATCTTCTCCATCCTTGACCATCCTAATGCTCCTTGATTGTTTATTACATATTACCTCTTAAGTGTTTTTCTATTTTACTAAACTATTATTTTTCAGGGGGTTTTTTTCCATGTAAAGGTAATTTTGTGCAAGGCCAAAATACCGTGGCTGAGCTCCTTTAAGGACCGTCGTGCCCATTGTTACTGCGCATCCTTACTGCGCAAGTAATTCGTGTCGCAACATCACGCCACGTCAAGCTATTCCTAAAGTCCTTAAGGTTAAGCACATTATGCCGGCATTATTTTGAGGATAATAGTAAGGCAAAAGAATGCCGGAATAATAGTCACAAAAGCTGGCTGATTCCGGGACTTGGGCAGGTCAAGAGCAATCTGTTACTACCTGGTGGTCTAAACATAAAAGAGAGCTGTCAAATTGGGTTTCCGCATGTAAGAGGGTTTTGCTAATCTAACCCTCTTCTGTTTCAGCTGAGCGATTTTTTTTGTCTACTTGAAAACTCAGTTCGTAACAGTCAAGCCAAAGCAATGGAGAATTACAATGATTCGTCACTCAGGCTTCATGCAATAGTATCTGTCCTATTGTGAGCGTAATAGAGCATCATTGTGACGCCTTTTGAGCATAACAGCGAGACGTTTTGAGCATCGAGCATTAACATAACAGTGAAAATTTGAGAATAATGTGTAAAACTCTTGAATTCCTTTGGGTAGCAGACCATTTACGTTTTGCTTCAGTGAGCCACACAGTTCGGAACGCGCGCGAGGAAGAAGACAGCCCTCGTCTAATCTTTTTACTCAAACCAAGCGTTGTTCTCTTTCGCTCGTTTCAGATACAATGAATTGCTCGCAGCAGTGTTCAATGAAAGGAACCCTTGATATCTTTATACACTTGCACTTCAGGCTATATATAGTGTGTGCAAAGAAATTTTAGATAAAAGCTACAACTATCAGGGAAATTTATATCTCGTTGGAACAACATCTTCGGACCACCAGCCAATCGAGACTATCAAAAGTCCAGATAGCGTTTACTGATGGCGGAGAATTTTAAAATTACAACTTTAACTGTAGATCTGCATTATGTACTGGTAAGTAACACCCAAGCACCGCGGTCCCCATCCCTACCATCTCAAGTGAATTCATTTAGTAAATAGTATTAATAAACTTGGTCTAGCTTGTGACATTGATATTCGGCTGCAGAAAAAAAGCGGTCCTAAAAGCTTGACGTGAGGCGAGGTCCACTATTATGCCGCAAATTTTTAATCAAATAATTGAAACACAATTATATTAAAATTATATTTGTTTCAGAAATGAATTCATTAGGACTTGCTATGACCACTGGTGCAAAAACGCAGTTAAATTTTATCGTTTCATGACCAAAGCGGGCTTGTGCAAAATTATTTATTTAAAATTAATTATTTATAGTGCAGAAAACAATAACGTCGTTAGTCAAAAATAGCGCCAGGATATTGCGCGAGGCGGTTTTAGCATAGAGCAAGAGAAAACAATATAATATTCGGTAATTAAAATCATTTCTGCACATAAAAACAACCTGCGCGTTAAAAAAAAAAAAAAATTAAACCGATTAGACAAGGTGCAATGAATTTCTGCTCTGTTGTTTTTGGAATTGCTTAGTCATCAGCCGATGAAGGCTATCGAAGGCCATCGAAAATCGGAAATACTTATCAAATTATTGGTTGAAATACTAATTCGCCGACGTGATAGTGGTGTAGCGGCGATGAGAAAAAGAGACATTTCGTATACGTGTCTACTTGAAGGTTTAGGTACTCCTTTCAATCTAAGGCACAAAACTGTCATTTCTCTCCTCTAAAGAGCGCCTGCCTTAGCGATATAAAATGCCAAGCCGTTTTGGATCTACAAATTCCCTGCTGGTTTGGTTCGGTAAGTTTGTAAAAACTAAAAGCAACATCTAACCTGCACTGTGATGTGTCTGACAGGCTTAAGGTGAAAGGCACGTAAAGTTGTTGCAGTTTAGTCTTTTGAAGCTTTATTTAAAATGTGTTCATTAGATTATTTTTCATTGCCGTGGCTGAAAAGTTAGGACAAACGTTTATATTGTAAATCACAGTTTTACCTGTGCTGAGGTCGGGATTCCCCTTAATTTAGCAACTGAAAGCTGTTTTTCTACAGGTTCTTCTCTCGCTATAGATTTAACTGCTGTTAAATTAGTTTCTGTCCGTATGGCACCCACGCCATTAAGGCTCCTATATTGGTAGAGGGCGCTGATGTTGTCAAAGTAGAAAACGATCATTGACAAATTGCTCATGCAAGCCCAAAATAAACTTTGCTGCGTGCCATTTTCCACGATCGTCTTTCTTTCTGCCTTTCTCGAGACAATTGAACGTACCTCTAGTCAAAGAAGGACTGCCTCATACCGCCTTCAGAACTAACTTTCCGCAATATTCGTACGTGGATATGTCTAAATAACGTTAAAATTACCGTACAAGTAAGGAAGGCACGGTTTTAGGGAATTTGCGTCGTCAAGTGCCCTGGCGTCAAGAAACGCACCATCGCTTTATGATTCGATTACTATATTGCATGAATACAAAACAGCTCTTCCTTTTACTTGGAAAGACAAGTTTTACCGAAAATATTAATTGCGAAGAAACAGACAATAACCATCAAAATTCCACTTTCTCTCGAGCGTTTAACTTCCACACGCTTAATCTAGACCAACTGTATATGATCTGAATCATAATCTCTTGTCTAGACCTACTAGTAAATCCCAAAACAGCGGTTTCTGTAGCTTTGCTCTAGTTAATAGCTAAGTGTCTCTTTCCTAATATAGGTAAGGGGCCAAACTATATCCGCGAACACATAACCAATAATATAAACTTTCACACCAGAAAAAAAATCCCATTTCGCTGCTTTTTAGCTGGTTCTCGAGTTTGCACTCTTCTTCATGGACTGATATTCTCTTTGGCTTTCAGTACGTTTTCATTTCTCGTCCCACCCTGCCTAGATGTCTAAAATCTAAAGCATTTTACACATTACTGATCGCTTTGAAAGTAATCGAATTAAACAGTAAGATAACATTAAGATTTTAGAAGATATTTTAAAGAGTATATATCGCAGGAATTCTCTAATGTATGCGTGTGCACGCAGGTTTGATGACAACCATAGCAATAGACACAAGTAGAACTGGTGAGTGAATTCTTTTATTAGCGTAATCTTCTGCCAATTAACAGGGTCATAATAATGTAGCCTGTTCCAGGCTTTCGGTCGGTGGAGACAATCGAAAAAGCGGACGGGCGACGAGCGGGATCTAAGGGAAAAAAGCTCTCTTTTTTTCCAGACCCCGCTCGTCCTCGGCCCGCTCTTTTTGGTCGTTCCTACTGACCGAGAGCCTGGAACAGGCTATGATAAGGCGTAACCGATTTATGAGATTTGCTCAATTCAATTTGGAACTGTCAACCGGAGGGAATTGACGCATTTTTCACTGATGCTTAGGTGAGATCTGAGATGTACAAAATTTCCTGATAGCCCCTGTACTGTGATGTAGCTGAGAAATGGATGGAAACTCCGGCAATTTTACTGATAACTTAGATTTCATCATTCTTCATCTAGACCCTGGAGGGATCTAACTGATAAGGTTCATCTACGCCAGGCACTTCCCAAGTGGATTCCAGTGAACGAAGTTTTTCTCTTTTTATTTAGCTATCTGTCCAGGTGAAGGTAACATCACAGATTCACGAGGAACCTTGCAGAGTCCGGGCTACCCAAAGGCTTACCCAAAGAGCACAGTTTGTGTTTGGGTCATAACAGCTCCACGAGGCGAATACGTGAGGCTTCTGATAAAAGCAATAGACTTAGAATACTGCGTTCTGTGCCATTGTGATTATGTGGAGGTGAGAGAAGGAGCAAGCGCCGATGGTCAGCTTATTGGCAGGTTTTGCAATCAAAAGAGGACAACTGTTTATTCCGAGGGAAGACAGTTGTGGGTGAAATTTAGATCAGACATGGCGTACCAGCGAAAGGGATTCTCCGCAAGCTTCTCGAGGATAAAATTACGAAAGAGTAAGTCCATGTGAATCTTTTTTATGGTTCTGGGATGTCAAGGAAAACGTGTCAGCAAAAGGCTACTGAATATCGTTTGATGGCGGTAAGGTACGCTTAAGTCTGTATACGAGCTAAGTATTCCCTCAGGCCGGTGCTTATCCCGGTTTCTGTAGCATGACGCGACTAGGAGTATTACTACTCCCCCCTGGATGGGATGCTAGTCCATCGCAGGGTTGCCCTTAGCAGTTTGATGGCGGAATCTCCCATAATACAGAAACAGTAAGGGCTATGAGCTGCAACATCCCTATTATTTTTTCCTTTTATTGTTTTCCAGTTTTGTTGAGCAGAACCATAGAATTAGCACTTTCTCTACATTCAATTATCACTTAAGAATTTTTCGTCAATGTTCGTCACACTTTCTAACTTTGGAGAAAGGACTGAATTTTAAGATGGCGGATTTTGTGATGTCATTTGACGCCATCAGTACACATTTTGTAGAGGAAGCTCAACCTCGATCCCAAGCTCTCTCTCCTTTGTCCCCCTTCTCCCGATTAGGACATTCGCGTTCCAATAGCCCTTTTTGCTTCTCATAGCCGGCGGGGCCTTGGCAGAGAAACGAAGGGCTCCTTGTTTCTCGTACCATGGCCCCACTGGCTAAGGGAAGCGGAAAGGACAATCAGGACGAGAATGCGACCAGGGAGGCAAGGGAGACAGAGCCTGGGATCGATGTTGGAGCATTAAAATTTTAATAACCACCCCACTCCCTCGTTCCTCGGCGGGGATCTGAATTTGGAGAAAAAGTGTATGTCCAAGGGTTAAGGGAGGCTTTAAATCTTGTGTTTTTCTGTGGTCGTAGCAAGAACCAGCTCGATCGTAATAGAAAAACGCAGGACCAGGTGACAACGAGATGTTTTGTTGTTGTTATTATTGTTGCTGTTATTGGCACATTATTACCCAAGCTCGGCCTCTTTTGTCTTCTTTTCTACAGAAGAGCCAATCTTTCTTCACGCCAATGATACGTCTGGATTCATCAAAAGTTCCAATAACCCAGCCGTTTGTGGCTCCGGCAGACAGTGCACCTGGGTAATTTTCGCACATGAAGGGTACAATGTGCAGCTCGCACTGGGATTATTTGAATTTCCGTCGTGTTTTGGATCGTACATAGAAATCAGGGACGGCCCTAGATGTTCAAGCCAACTCATTGGAACGTTCTGTGGTGATGAGAGGCCTCCACCTGATCTCTGTTCTTTAGGAAACAGTTTATACATAACATTTAAATACAACTCCACAAGAGACTTACAAATGAACCGTTTTGAGCTGTTGTACAGAGAGGTCCAGTGCACTAAGCAAGCACAAAAGAACCTAATATTTACTGAGCCAGTGAACTCTGGTAAGAAACTGTAATATGGTTGAAATGCTTGTGATTAATACCCTACACTGTTTCTTTTGTTTAAACTTGATAAATTCTTTAAAAGTAAGTTTTAGCAAACACATATCGTTTTTAAACTAAAAGGTTAATTTCCTTCCTAAAGTATGATCATTAGGGGTGAAAAATGAGGTAGACTATGGCAGGCGTTATGTTGTTTTCTACGCTCTTGGTTTTATAAGAATATTTTTATAAGAATATCGAGTCCGAAATTAGCCATATTTTAAAAGCATGTTTACAACATACCCAAGGCTGAATTTTGTTAAGAAGATTTTTGTGTGTTGATGGAAAATAACTTACAATAAAATCACATGTGTTTAAATATGAACACTATTTTACCATTGAAAAGTATGGTAAATTCTTTCTTTTTCTCTAACAAAACTAGCTCACAGAAAAGATGAAAATGTTAATGAATAATTATCATTTGCTTTGCAGAACACTGGAGAAGCATGGCTGTTGGAATCGCCTGTACAAGTTTCTTTCTTTTCGTAGTTTTAGTGGGCTGTTTTCTTAAGATTGCCAGCAATCATCGCTTTGCAGGTTTAGAGCGTGCGACTTCACAGATCGAGTTGAATCCATTCGAGTCCTCCATCACCGAGGAAACTACTCTGTGCAATGACGGGGAACAATTAAGTTGACATTTAACAAAAGAAGGACAAGATACGGTAAAAAGACGAGACAGAAAAGATTATTAACTCATCTTCACTTGGCCATGTCAGGACTGTTAATGAGTCGAAGGATTGATATGACACTCCATTTGAAAGGCCGGAAGAAGGCGACAGTGAATGTATGAAACTAAATTAAGAAAGAAGTTATTTTGAAAGTGCGCGATGGAACTTTATACTGTGCTGTTGATTGCACTTTACGTTGACAGTTTGCAGCGAGAAGTGGCTTCTCTGATATGTGTATATTGTGCTCTGCTCCCCCCCCCCCCTATAATAGTAAGGCAAAAGAATGCCGGAATAATAGTCACAAAAGCTGGCTGATTCCGGGACTTGGGCAGGTCAAGAGCAATCTGTTACTACCTGGTGGTCTAAACATAAAAGAGAGCTGTCAAATTGGGTTTCCGCATGTAAGAGGGTTTTGCTAATCTAACCCTCTTCTGTTTCAGCTGAGCGATTTTTTTTGTCTACTTGAAAACTCAGTTCGTAACAGTCAAGCCAAAGCAATGGAGAATTACAATGATTCGTCACTCAGGCTTCATGCAATAGTATCTGTCCTATTGTGAGCGTAATAGAGCATCATTGTGACGCCTTTTGAGCATAACAGCGAGACGTTTTGAGCATCGAGCATTAACATAACAGTGAAAATTTGAGAATAATGTGTAAAACTCTTGAATTCCTTTGGGTAGCAGACCATTTACGTTTTGCTTCAGTGAGCCACACAGTTCGGAACGCGCGCGAGGAAGAAGACAGCCCTCGTCTAATCTTTTTACTCAAACCAAGCGTTGTTCTCTTTCGCTCGTTTCAGATACAATGAATTGCTCGCAGCAGTGTTCAATGAAAGGAACCCTTGATATCTTTATACACTTGCACTTCAGGCTATATATAGTGTGTGCAAAGAAATTTTAGATAAAAGCTACAACTATCAGGGAAATTTATATCTCGTTGGAACAACATCTTCGGACCACCAGCCAATCGAGACTATCAAAAGTCCAGATAGCGTTTACTGATGGCGGAGAATTTTAAAATTACAACTTTAACTGTAGATCTGCATTATGTACTGGTAAGTAACACCCAAGCACCGCGGTCCCCATCCCTACCATCTCAAGTGAATTCATTTAGTAAATAGTATTAATAAACTTGGTCTAGCTTGTGACATTGATATTCGGCTGCAGAAAAAAAGCGGTCCTAAAAGCTTGACGTGAGGCGAGGTCCACTATTATGCCGCAAATTTTTAATCAAATAATTGAAACACAATTATATTAAAATTATATTTGTTTCAGAAATGAATTCATTAGGACTTGCTATGACCACTGGTGCAAAAACGCAGTTAAATTTTATCGTTTCATGACCAAAGCGGGCTTGTGCAAAATTATTTATTTAAAATTAATTATTTATAGTGCAGAAAACAATAACGTCGTTAGTCAAAAATAGCGCCAGGATATTGCGCGAGGCGGTTTTAGCATAGAGCAAGAGAAAACAATATAATATTCGGTAATTAAAATCATTTCTGCACATAAAAACAACCTGCGCGTTAAAAAAAAAAAAAAATTAAACCGATTAGACAAGGTGCAATGAATTTCTGCTCTGTTGTTTTTGGAATTGCTTAGTCATCAGCCGATGAAGGCTATCGAAGGCCATCGAAAATCGGAAATACTTATCAAATTATTGGTTGAAATACTAATTCGCCGACGTGATAGTGGTGTAGCGGCGATGAGAAAAAGAGACATTTCGTATACGTGTCTACTTGAAGGTTTAGGTACTCCTTTCAATCTAAGGCACAAAACTGTCATTTCTCTCCTCTAAAGAGCGCCTGCCTTAGCGATATAAAATGCCAAGCCGTTTTGGATCTACAAATTCCCTGCTGGTTTGGTTCGGTAAGTTTGTAAAAACTAAAAGCAACATCTAACCTGCACTGTGATGTGTCTGACAGGCTTAAGGTGAAAGGCACGTAAAGTTGTTGCAGTTTAGTCTTTTGAAGCTTTATTTAAAATGTGTTCATTAGATTATTTTTCATTGCCGTGGCTGAAAAGTTAGGACAAACGTTTATATTGTAAATCACAGTTTTACCTGTGCTGAGGTCGGGATTCCCCTTAATTTAGCAACTGAAAGCTGTTTTTCTACAGGTTCTTCTCTCGCTATAGATTTAACTGCTGTTAAATTAGTTTCTGTCCGTATGGCACCCACGCCATTAAGGCTCCTATATTGGTAGAGGGCGCTGATGTTGTCAAAGTAGAAAACGATCATTGACAAATTGCTCATGCAAGCCCAAAATAAACTTTGCTGCGTGCCATTTTCCACGATCGTCTTTCTTTCTGCCTTTCTCGAGACAATTGAACGTACCTCTAGTCAAAGAAGGACTGCCTCATACCGCCTTCAGAACTAACTTTCCGCAATATTCGTACGTGGATATGTCTAAATAACGTTAAAATTACCGTACAAGTAAGGAAGGCACGGTTTTAGGGAATTTGCGTCGTCAAGTGCCCTGGCGTCAAGAAACGCACCATCGCTTTATGATTCGATTACTATATTGCATGAATACAAAACAGCTCTTCCTTTTACTTGGAAAGACAAGTTTTACCGAAAATATTAATTGCGAAGAAACAGACAATAACCATCAAAATTCCACTTTCTCTCGAGCGTTTAACTTCCACACGCTTAATCTAGACCAACTGTATATGATCTGAATCATAATCTCTTGTCTAGACCTACTAGTAAATCCCAAAACAGCGGTTTCTGTAGCTTTGCTCTAGTTAATAGCTAAGTGTCTCTTTCCTAATATAGGTAAGGGGCCAAACTATATCCGCGAACACATAACCAATAATATAAACTTTCACACCAGAAAAAAAATCCCATTTCGCTGCTTTTTAGCTGGTTCTCGAGTTTGCACTCTTCTTCATGGACTGATATTCTCTTTGGCTTTCAGTACGTTTTCATTTCTCGTCCCACCCTGCCTAGATGTCTAAAATCTAAAGCATTTTACACATTACTGATCGCTTTGAAAGTAATCGAATTAAACAGTAAGATAACATTAAGATTTTAGAAGATATTTTAAAGAGTATATATCGCAGGAATTCTCTAATGTATGCGTGTGCACGCAGGTTTGATGACAACCATAGCAATAGACACAAGTAGAACTGGTGAGTGAATTCTTTTATTAGCGTAATCTTCTGCCAATTAACAGGGTCATAATAATGTAGCCTGTTCCAGGCTTTCGGTCGGTGGAGACAATCGAAAAAGCGGACGGGCGACGAGCGGGATCTAAGGGAAAAAAGCTCTCTTTTTTTCCAGACCCCGCTCGTCCTCGGCCCGCTCTTTTTGGTCGTTCCTACTGACCGAGAGCCTGGAACAGGCTATGATAAGGCGTAACCGATTTATGAGATTTGCTCAATTCAATTTGGAACTGTCAACCGGAGGGAATTGACGCATTTTTCACTGATGCTTAGGTGAGATCTGAGATGTACAAAATTTCCTGATAGCCCCTGTACTGTGATGTAGCTGAGAAATGGATGGAAACTCCGGCAATTTTACTGATAACTTAGATTTCATCATTCTTCATCTAGACCCTGGAGGGATCTAACTGATAAGGTTCATCTACGCCAGGCACTTCCCAAGTGGATTCCAGTGAACGAAGTTTTTCTCTTTTTATTTAGCTATCTGTCCAGGTGAAGGTAACATCACAGATTCACGAGGAACCTTGCAGAGTCCGGGCTACCCAAAGGCTTACCCAAAGAGCACAGTTTGTGTTTGGGTCATAACAGCTCCACGAGGCGAATACGTGAGGCTTCTGATAAAAGCAATAGACTTAGAATACTGCGTTCTGTGCCATTGTGATTATGTGGAGGTGAGAGAAGGAGCAAGCGCCGATGGTCAGCTTATTGGCAGGTTTTGCAATCAAAAGAGGACAACTGTTTATTCCGAGGGAAGACAGTTGTGGGTGAAATTTAGATCAGACATGGCGTACCAGCGAAAGGGATTCTCCGCAAGCTTCTCGAGGATAAAATTACGAAAGAGTAAGTCCATGTGAATCTTTTTTATGGTTCTGGGATGTCAAGGAAAACGTGTCAGCAAAAGGCTACTGAATATCGTTTGATGGCGGTAAGGTACGCTTAAGTCTGTATACGAGCTAAGTATTCCCTCAGGCCGGTGCTTATCCCGGTTTCTGTAGCATGACGCGACTAGGAGTATTACTACTCCCCCCTGGATGGGATGCTAGTCCATCGCAGGGTTGCCCTTAGCAGTTTGATGGCGGAATCTCCCATAATACAGAAACAGTAAGGGCTATGAGCTGCAACATCCCTATTATTTTTTCCTTTTATTGTTTTCCAGTTTTGTTGAGCAGAACCATAGAATTAGCACTTTCTCTACATTCAATTATCACTTAAGAATTTTTCGTCAATGTTCGTCACACTTTCTAACTTTGGAGAAAGGACTGAATTTTAAGATGGCGGATTTTGTGATGTCATTTGACGCCATCAGTACACATTTTGTAGAGGAAGCTCAACCTCGATCCCAAGCTCTCTCTCCTTTGTCCCCCTTCTCCCGATTAGGACATTCGCGTTCCAATAGCCCTTTTTGCTTCTCATAGCCGGCGGGGCCTTGGCAGAGAAACGAAGGGCTCCTTGTTTCTCGTACCATGGCCCCACTGGCTAAGGGAAGCGGAAAGGACAATCAGGACGAGAATGCGACCAGGGAGGCAAGGGAGACAGAGCCTGGGATCGATGTTGGAGCATTAAAATTTTAATAACCACCCCACTCCCTCGTTCCTCGGCGGGGATCTGAATTTGGAGAAAAAGTGTATGTCCAAGGGTTAAGGGAGGCTTTAAATCTTGTGTTTTTCTGTGGTCGTAGCAAGAACCAGCTCGATCGTAATAGAAAAACGCAGGACCAGGTGACAACGAGATGTTTTGTTGTTGTTATTATTGTTGCTGTTATTGGCACATTATTACCCAAGCTCGGCCTCTTTTGTCTTCTTTTCTACAGAAGAGCCAATCTTTCTTCACGCCAATGATACGTCTGGATTCATCAAAAGTTCCAATAACCCAGCCGTTTGTGGCTCCGGCAGACAGTGCACCTGGGTAATTTTCGCACATGAAGGGTACAATGTGCAGCTCGCACTGGGATTATTTGAATTTCCGTCGTGTTTTGGATCGTACATAGAAATCAGGGACGGCCCTAGATGTTCAAGCCAACTCATTGGAACGTTCTGTGGTGATGAGAGGCCTCCACCTGATCTCTGTTCTTTAGGAAACAGTTTATACATAACATTTAAATACAACTCCACAAGAGACTTACAAATGAACCGTTTTGAGCTGTTGTACAGAGAGGTCCAGTGCACTAAGCAAGCACAAAAGAACCTAATATTTACTGAGCCAGTGAACTCTGGTAAGAAACTGTAATATGGTTGAAATGCTTGTGATTAATACCCTACACTGTTTCTTTTGTTTAAACTTGATAAATTCTTTAAAAGTAAGTTTTAGCAAACACATATCGTTTTTAAACTAAAAGGTTAATTTCCTTCCTAAAGTATGATCATTAGGGGTGAAAAATGAGGTAGACTATGGCAGGCGTTATGTTGTTTTCTACGCTCTTGGTTTTATAAGAATATTTTTATAAGAATATCGAGTCCGAAATTAGCCATATTTTAAAAGCATGTTTACAACATACCCAAGGCTGAATTTTGTTAAGAAGATTTTTGTGTGTTGATGGAAAATAACTTACAATAAAATCACATGTGTTTAAATATGAACACTATTTTACCATTGAAAAGTATGGTAAATTCTTTCTTTTTCTCTAACAAAACTAGCTCACAGAAAAGATGAAAATGTTAATGAATAATTATCATTTGCTTTGCAGAACACTGGAGAAGCATGGCTGTTGGAATCGCCTGTACAAGTTTCTTTCTTTTCGTAGTTTTAGTGGGCTGTTTTCTTAAGATTGCCAGCAATCATCGCTTTGCAGGTTTAGAGCGTGCGACTTCACAGATCGAGTTGAATCCATTCGAGTCCTCCATCACCGAGGAAACTACTCTGTGCAATGACGGGGAACAATTAAGTTGACATTTAACAAAAGAAGGACAAGATACGGTAAAAAGACGAGACAGAAAAGATTATTAACTCATCTTCACTTGGCCATGTCAGGACTGTTAATGAGTCGAAGGATTGATATGACACTCCATTTGAAAGGCCGGAAGAAGGCGACAGTGAATGTATGAAACTAAATTAAGAAAGAAGTTATTTTGAAAGTGCGCGATGGAACTTTATACTGTGCTGTTGATTGCACTTTACGTTGACAGTTTGCAGCGAGAAGTGGCTTCTCTGATATGTGTATATTGTGCTCTGCTCCCCCCCCCCCCTACCCCGCCCTAGTCCCCAGCCCCCAAGACCCTTCCCCTAGACAAAAAAAGTTTCACGAACACTCTCGAGCCACTATCTGCATACACTAACTCACTCTTTTGTTGAAGAGCTGCATAAGATATCTAGGTTTGCACGCTAATCACATATTTATTATACCGGGAATTATGTCTTTTTTTAAGCTGGAAATTGATTGTTTTGCTGTAAAAGACAAATAAAAAAAAACTAGGTGAAAGAAAAAAAAAAACCTTATCCGTATACAAGAAGCAAAGTTAGCAACAAAGGGATGCTTTGTTTTTCCTTTAACCCACTAGCTTCGTGAAGAAAGCTAACACGGAGCTCGTGAATAACAAAGTAACGCTGACAATTGGCAACGAAGATTTGTTACAGTAATCCTTCGTACAACAATATACTTCACACACGTCGTAACCATACACTTTGCAGGCTGGCTGCTTGCATCTAGCTGCAGTCTGGCATCCTCTCTCGTATCTTGCTTCCCTTTTACTGGAGGGTTTGATATGAGTCTTGGCGCATCTGTCGAGGCCAAACTCTTCTCCACACTCAACGTATTTGATATTCTTGTCACAGTCTTCATATGAGACTCTGCTTTGGCAATAGTTGCATTTAATGGCATCTCCTAGAATCGGAAAAAAATTTTAAGAGAAAACAGTTTTATCACTGTAGCGTCTTTTAACTGAGGGCTTCAGAGTTCGCTATTGAGGCTCTATCTATTAGGTGTTTAGGAAAACGGGATATTTTATAAACGGCATAAAGGACATTTGGGGGAAAGATTAAGTAGGAAAATCAGTCGCGGGATACTGGATATCTAGGCCAAAACATTAACGGGATGTGGGATACTCGGATTCCCCTTCACCCCCCCCCCCCGCCGCTCCCCCCATCCGCCGCCTAAAAAAAATTGCCATGTTAGTTGTCACTGGCGGTTTCTAAATTAGAAACACCTATAATCCTTCCAGACTGTAATGTTGCGTCAGCTGTTTTATGCGTCAAGTGCAAAAGTGGGACGAGCTATCAGACGCACTAAACTCTCAGTTCGTGTTTGAAGATGTTCAATAGCAGATAGTTCTTGCTGACCAAGAGACTGTCGTAGTCCCTAATTTGTGCCGAAGAATTCTCCATCTTCTGCCAGACTTCATACTGACACGCATAGTCGCTGATCCGGGCTCATTACGCGTCACGTCGAACTTCATATGGGGAGTGGATCCAAACGGGCACAGCTCGACCGGTGGGTTAAACGTCGAACTTAACTCGAATTTAGATCGACCAACATGTTCTATTCGTGTGTAGCAGACGAATAGAACATGTTGGTCGATCTAAATTCAGTCGGACGAACTCGGTTGAATCAAACGTCGAACTTACCATGAGCTTAATTCGCTCAGCTTAGTTCGTCTCATGTGAAGTTCGACGTTTAACCTGGGTTCAAGAAGAACTAAAGCAACTTCGATTTTAGTCTCTCTCTCTCCCTTGCCTCCCTTGTCCAACGACAAGGGGACAAAGGAGAGAGAGATCCTGGGATCGAAGTTAGCACCAAAGGAAATACTTCGTCCTTATGTATAACTATGACTTGGTAACCCCGTTCTTACATGCATAAAATGCTCTGGAAATAAGATGAAGATACAAAGATAAAGTGAATTGTTAAAATGTAATTTGTTATTTAGTTTTTAATGAGTTTTCCAAGACACAAGTTTGCCCGCCTTTTTCAAATAAAGATCAAAATTTCACACTTGCTTAATTAACTCATAATGAGAGGCCTATAATAATAGTCGGTGTTGTTTCTGTATCATATGACAAATCACAATCAAGGACGTTAGAGAAGATGAATTCAACTCCCAGTCTAAGTTTGGGGCTCACCTACTAGTTTTTACGAGGAAAAAAGCGCCCAGTCTGCTCCATTCACGATCAAATTTTACTGTATCAAATTGATAGCACTGAGTATATATTTCCGTTGACTTTTGGTGCTGAATGTTTACATTTTTACTTCACATGGTTTCACGGTATCACGCGTTACCAGTTGAGATAAAAGCGAACAACCGCACAGACACTCGAGACAACACGTGATGCAACTGCTGTGTCGAAACGATTTATTTACCGAGAAAAATGTAAAAGAATGATGTGATAAAGGAGATGCTTTAAACTATTATATCAAGGCTTAGTCATTATTGAAAAGATAAACGCAAGGACGAAATATAATAATATTCGCGATTGTTCTGAGCGATACCCAAGCTCCAATTTGTCGCTTTACTTTTCCTCAGTACATTTATACGACTATAATTGGAAAAATTTGTTTTTTTCAAAATCTTACCTTTGGAAGAGAAGACAAAGCCAACAGCCAAAATCGAATATAACTGTAACGGTTTCATTACAACACTAAGGGGAACAATTACAGCTTCGTGCTGGCGTTGTGCTGGCGACTCGATTGAATAATCCTGGCCCACTGTGAGTTAATGTGTAATAGTGCTAGCCGAAATGATCAGCTTTTCAAGACCACCTTCGATGTAGATGACTTTTACAAAACTCCGGGTCACCTTGGCTAAAACGCCAAAAAAATCCTTCAATTGGAATAGGGATATTTGCATAAATTCCACAGTCGCGACGGAAATGTTTGTTTGCCTTACACAGGTGGTGTAGTCCTCAAAATTTACACAACAAATTTAAACGAGGTACAAGTTGCAAATTTTCCAACACCATTGAATGGGACTGACTGCAATGTGGCGAAGGCTGGGCAACTAAGCCTCAATAGGCTATTCCTCGGGACGGGACGGGGGGGCGTGGGATGGTCTACTCGCGGCCCAGAAAATTCGGGTAAAGGTGTGCGGCCCGCTTACCAAAAACCTTACCGACCGTACCCTATTGCAAGACCAAGATGTGCTATTTTCCCCACCCTATTTATTACCTGACCAAAAATTTAATACCTGAGCCTTTAATCACTCGACCTGTTTCAGGCCTGCCTTATCATAATTAGTTCCCTAGACCTGTGTTAATTAAAGGTAATGTTTATATACTTTTATTAGGTATGATAACTTCTTCTAAAAAACATACCCAATTCAAGACTAGAGTGCAACACTCCTATTTGAGACCAAAATGGCCAAAATCGATACCCTATTTCTGACCACTGATGCCGGCAGAAAACCATACCCCTTAGGGCCGCACAAACCTATATAGCCCATAGAAGTAAGTACCCCC